TGCAAAACTGTTGAGTCTGCTGAACGCAGCCATTACTTTGTCTTATCTTGTTTGATAGTTTAAAGGAAGTTTCATAGCATGTCAGCCATGTTTAGTACCCTCCCTAGTATCTTTGTCATACTGACTTAAGCCGGTTGCGCCTCTCTGATAAATCTAGGACTCTAGGTGCCGATAGTGTACGGGAGTTTCGAGCTGTTTCAAGAGTTTCACGAAAAAGGCTGGGATGACCGTTGTCTCTACCATCATAGCCTTTATATATGTTCTGTGATCATAGTCATCATATGAAGATTTGAGAAGATTGAGGGATTTGAAGGTTGCTGATTTGATATTTATATTTATGCTCAACGCTCAACCGCTTTGATGTGATAATCGAGCAATAAGCTACAATGGACGCAAACGAGACCATCATCGAATTGAAGAACAATGAAGCGAATGTAAGTAATGTGAATAATTTAATATAAATATATAATTATTATTATAAATATATCTTATCTTATTATTATAAATATATAACCACATAAGAAGAAAACATTGTGTGCTGAGATTGACATTCATGACTTTCGTAGATGCCCGTGCCGAAAATAAAACATGATTGGTATCAAACAGAGACCTATGTAATTGTAACAATACTCGCCAAGAATGTGAAAGATATGAAAATCGCATATGGAGAAAGTACAGTATGTATCTTCACTGGTTTATCTACTTTATACTTATCTATCGGACAATAAATTAAGGAGCCTTGGATGACAGCATATCTCACAGTCATTCTATATATGCATCTTTGTTTGTTTTTTTTTTTGAAAGTTTTGAACTGACATAAATTGATGAAATTGGAGTGAAACAAAGGGTGCTTTTCAGCAAGAGATATAGATGACACGATGTAACATAATGAATCATTCTATCCTTGTCAATATTGAATATTTAACATTTCATTTTGTACAAAAATAAAATGATCACTGTGTTATATTGCAATCCTGGCAGACAAGCATCAAAATTGTGCTTGTTTTACTCCAAATTATTGTATATCAGTTTGACATTTTTTTTAAAAAGAACAGACCTAATATGTATTGTTTCTTTTTAGATTATTTAAGCTGTAGATTTAATATCCAGATATCTGAATAATATTTGAGATGTCTGGATAATCAATTACTTTGACAGTAATACTAGTTGGAAGTATCTTATGATCCTTAAATAATATTAAAGATTAAGATAATTGTTAATGAAAAGAAAGGTGAAATTTGAACAAATCTGAAAATACAGCTTTACTACATTATAAATTATTTTTCAGCTAAGTGTGTCTGCACAGTTACCATCTGGCAATGAATATAGTTTAGAGTTAGATTTAGCCAACTTTATAGTGGAGGATCAATGTATGTACAAAATAATGCCGTCCAAGATAGAAATCAAACTGAAAAAAAGGGATGATATTAGGTGGACGACACTGGAGGGAAATCCAGTTTTAAGTAAAGTAAAACCTATACCAACTGGTAAGTTGTAAATCATTTATTACTTTATCGAAAAATGTCTAAGACAAAACATAAATGCCAAATGATAAGATGTGAGATAAAGATGTAATGTTTACTAATAGAGGAAGGTCACCGATACCGACATATCACTTTGTTTTTAGACAATATTTCTTAAACAAAAGGTAAAAATACAACTTCAAAAACATAAATACAAAGTAAAAAGGGTCTTCTATCAGATAG